CCTTTAATTTCTCTTCATCATCTGTTTCCCCCTTGGCTTCATCATTTGCATTTTACCAATCTTGTAAATCCAATATCCCCTACTTTTTAATTGTATATATGGACCTATTCAAAAAAGTTTCTAACAATCATTTTTCTTGATCATCATCATTATCATCATCGTTATAGACAGTAAAAGTTTTAAGCAAACCAAAATAATGTAAAATAGTCATATTCTTATATAAATTATTACATGAATCAGGGCATGTAGACCAGTTCTCAAATGTTCACAAACACGTACTGCTCTTTGCTCTTGTATCAGTGCTTCATGGCTCTTGAACTGATTGACTTCGCACTATGTAGGATTCAAATTCAATATACCATGATAACATACTTCAGCTTCTGGTGCAATCTACAGTGATAACACGCTCCAAAGTCCCAACCACTTGAGCTTCGTATTAAATGCTAATTGAAATCAGGGCCATGTTTTCGTGATTACCTGCCCCAAACCTGTATTATAATTAGCAGTATATGCGATGTACAGAACATGGGTTGCCGTATCGGCAATCTGTCAGGTTCAGTATGGATGAAAGTCCATCTCATCAACGCCTGTAATAGATTTCACCTTTGACCAACCCACTTCTGATACCTGTATATAATACCCAGCAGAGAGCATTGGCTTCAGAAACCACGACGAACGCTGTGACACACGTTCCATTACACTTCACGGTGTCAAGCAAGCAGCCACCATATAGCAACACGACTGCGGGAAGGGTCTCCCCCAAGAACCCAACACAATGTATTCAACAACAGCCTTTACGCTGTTAGCTCTGCTAGCAAGTGCTCTGGCAGGTAAGTCATTACATTCTTATTGTACAACTAAACTGGTACAGTGCCCGCAAGAGATACATACACTGTAAGGTATTTTCATATGTTAATTTGTTTGAACGAGGTAGGATTGGGGTCCCTTTGGGGCCATACAATCTGCTTAACAGAAGCACTGAGCTGACAAGTACCTTAGATGTGTAACTCTGCTGGTATTAATTTGAAATAACGGTAACCCAGGTTAAATACACAGGTGTAAATAAAATAAAGGCCGATTTTACAGATGTTCAGGAAAGGTGTTTCCGATGTTTGAACATGAGCTGTACACATATATGGCAAGACTGTAAGATAATTGAAGCTGCCTGATAATTTTCAAAACAATGCCCTCCGACAAAGTCGTCTGTAACACACATGATGGTCATGCAAAGCTTAACGGATTATTTTACAAGCTTATCTTTTTTTTAACAGTTACGTAATATCGCTTTCCTGATCAGATATTTGTCGATTGGCATAGGCATTAGCATAAGGCCTAAACGATGAAATCTATTACGCTTTATATTCGATTATAGGCTAGCTTTTCATTTATGATATTATCCATTTATTATATTACTATATCCAAGGTCACTAAAAATGAAACTCAAAAGAACGGTTTTTAAAGGTGTTGACTTTATATGATATCCAACCAACCAAGTTTTAAATAGTTTCAAATAACCAATTCTCAACACGAATCACTTCTCCATATAGTGATGACTAAATATGACATCTTTCTTCCAGGGCCAATCACCTACCAGTCACGCGACGAGACAACATCCTGCGCCAGACGATGCCGAGGTGAGTAAAGGACTCGGATTGTAGTGGCTGTTCATGTTGTCTTAATTCAAATCTCTATGGTAGAATGTGGCAAAAACATACTTACCATTGATACATGTATGTAGATAAAATTTTCATTTTCTTCATGAAATCAATTTTCTACATTGTTTGTATCAGACACGAACAAATTCAACTACGTCCCCGGAACTACCTATGAATTCGAGTACAATGTTCAGACCCATACATCCATGGAAGGAGCATCCAGTGATCAAGCGACTCTTGGTATTCGGGCAACAGCTGATATTGAGGTCCTGTCTAAGTGCGACATGGCTCTTAGGGTAGGTAACCCTACACACATTTATTAGGGCAATGTCCAAGATGAGGGACCTGTCAACCTGAAAGCGAAACGTTTTACTGTTGTGACATTTCACAAACAATCTGTTTCAGCTGCGCGACGTGAAGGTATACCAGTCTGATCCTTCAACCTCTACACCAATGAAGTACGCTGATGAGTCAGGGGAGTTCAGAAGGAACCTAGAACGATCGCCCCTCCGCTTTTCCTTCCAAGACGGCATAGTGGAAGAACTGTGTCCTACTGAGGGTGAAACAACATGGGCTCTCAACATCAAAAGAGGACTTCTCACTGCTGTCCAGAACAGTATGGATAACCTGGAAAAGAATCAGAGAGTAAAAGAGGTAAAACTAGGAAATAGGTATTTCTCCTTTTGCAAAACTTCAAGATGTATCTTTGTATACGATACATGTATTTCAATACATCTGCATAGCTCAGTTTTAAGTATTTCACCCGTTTGAAGACATCAAGATGGATATTTGTGTTCCATTCATGCATAACGTTGATCTCATATCTCTCCAGAATGACGTCACAGGGGAGTGCAACACCGACTACACGGTGACATCACGTGGCTGGTACTCTACAACTATTAAGAAGAGCAAGGATCTCCTTGGCTGCACTGATCGTAATGGCTACCACAGCTCAGTCCATGGCATGCAGTACAGGGTTCCTTCAGAGATCCAGTCGCTGCCCCTCATGAAGAGTACACACGAGTGTGAACAGGAACTGGACAAGAATGGACTCCTCAAGAGTGCGCTCATCCGGGAGACCCACACATTCAGGCCCTTTTCTAGGGCCACCAGCGGTGCCACCACCAAAGTCCTTCAGAGACTCAACTACAAGACTCAGAGATCTGGTGTTACCACAAGACAAGGTGAGCAGTAGAAAGATCTCACAGAGTTAGTTTTGAAAGTGTCACAAACAAAAGGCACGGGATTAATTGACTATAACACTCATCATTAGCATCATCATCATCTTAAATAAACGTTCCTAATTGTGTTTCTATCTGATTTACGTGCTTCAGATTATATTCGGAATCGGGCAGGACTTGTGTTTGAACATGCCTATGGCCCAGGAAACAAAGACCAACCAATGAGAGACGCTGAGAGTAAACTGCGAGAGATCTGTCAGAATACACGAGAGGATATCCGCCCGGACACACCACGCTTGTTTTCGGAGCTTGTCTACGTCATCAAAAACCTCAATGTTGATGACATTAGAAGGGTCTACGAGCAAGTTAAATCTGGAGCTATCTGCACTGACAACATAGAGAGGGTCAAGTTAGTATAAACAATTTGTATATCACTATCATAACCCATATTCTATTATCAGGTACACATATATTTCTTGGATAAAAATCTTATCAACAACAATCATTCATAAACATCTGTTTATCTAACTTTGACTAACCTTCAAATCTTGTTTCATTCTAGGAAGTTCTTCCTGGACACTATCCCGATGGCCAGCACAAGTGCATCTGTCACGTTCTTGAAAGACATTCTGCTGAAAAGAGAGGTCACTGGAGCACAGGCAACCATGTGGATCACATCCCTGTCTCTCATCCACTACCCCACCATGGAGATGTTGCAGGAAGTAAAGGTGAGCTCATCACAAACATCACAAAAAAGTACAATGATTGTGTTCACCCTCAATCAAAACAGTGAAAATAACCATCTCATGATGAACTATATAAAAACTCTGAATGTATATATTTGTAGGCACTTCTTGACACCCCTCAGTACAGCAAGGCTGCCATGCTTCCAATCTCCACTATGGTCAATAACTATTGCAACCATCACGAAGACTGTTCTGTGGAATCCACGATCACAAATATCATCTCTACCATGGAGAAGACCATTGGTTATGGCTGCTACATCAGAGATTCTAATCTGGAGACGAGTCTTGTGGCCCTTCGTGCTCTCGGAAATGCAGGCCATCTGGACAGATTGACCACTACAATTAGCAGCTGCTTCAACAAACAATCCAACCCCACGGAGGTCCGAGTAGCTGCCATCCAGGCCTACAGAAGGCTGCCCTGTACTGCCGATGTGAGTTATAGATATATTTTCAAAACTCAATGATTCGTATTTTTTTTTACATTTAAATGTCATATGATATCCTATACAATTGTAATGTCTGAACATGTGTTTCATTTCAGAGAAGCAACGTTATGACCATCTACCAAGATTCCGATGAGGATGCGGAGCTGAGAATTGCAGCCTACTTGGCTGTAATGCAGTGTCCATCTGAAGATGTCTTCAGCAGAATCCAAGCGTCTCTCGAGTCGGAGAAAGTTAATCAAGTTGGATCCTTTGTCTGGTCTCATCTAACCAACCTGATGGAAACATCTAGTCCACAGAAGCAGACCATCAGACGAATCCTCGAGGACAAAACCCTTGGAAGGAATTTCGACCTCTCAACACTCAAGTATTCACGCAACTATGAAGGTTCTCTATTCCTGGAGAAATTCAACACTGGCGCCATGCTCGAGAGTAATATCATCTTTTCAGATAAATCCTTCTTTCCTCGTTCTGCTATGCTCAACATGACAGTGGATCTCTTTGGGAACTCTCTCAATCTTTTGGAGCTTGGTGGACGCATGGAAGGAGTGGAGTATCTCATTGAGAACTACCTTGGCCCTTACAGCTACTTTGGAGGAAAGGCAGCCAAGAAACCAAAGGTACTTTTACATTTCAATCAATCATTTGTTTCGCTAAGGGCGCACACATATACACACCTTTGTGTAAAGAACCTATATGTCTACATGTATGCATGTGTTTCAAACCTCAATTTGCTGCTTGTTTCAGAGTACTGTCAACCTTGATCACCTAAGAGGAGACTTATACATGAGGATCTTTGGCAATGAAATGTACTATGACCATTTCAAAGGCGTAGATCCATTGGCATCCATCAAGAACTTCAACTTTCTGGACTTCCTTATCAAGATGTCCAAGAAGCAAGATTACTCCTTCACTCAGAGTATGATGATCCTGGACAGTAGCATGATTATCCCTACCAGCTCCGGTCTCCCCCCTCAATCTCACTGTAAACGGAACAGCCACCATCGACCTCCAGGCCTCTGGTCAAGTGGACCTCCGTAAAATGACAACTTCACCAAGCAGTCTCCTCATTGATGGACACATCAAGCCAAGGTAAATTTTCAGTACTCAATTCTTTTTGAGGAAAAAGACCAATGTCGTCACACATTCAATGCATATGTACTTGATATTATCAATTTGCTTGAATCCGGACCTATGACCTTTTTCAGTGGAGCTATCAAGATTGTTGGAACAATGAGCATGGATGCCTTTGTCACCAAAACCGGCCTTCGAGTTGTCAATACCTGGCATTCCAGCACTGCATTGAAAGGGCGTGTAGAACTCAGCCGGGGAAAGATTCTTAGTGCAGACATTGACTTTCCACAACAGAAAATGGAAATCCTTGATGTCAAGTAAGCATTTTTAACTTTCAGTCCCTTAATACAAATACATATATACATAATACAAAGTGTGGTGTTGTTGACAGTACATGCTTCTCCATTCACAACACATATGCAATTAATCAAACAATGATATTAATAAAGATTAACATTATCTTTCATATGTTACAGCACAGAGTTCTTCAGCATTCATGGTGATCAGGAGAAGAAACAAGACTTGGTCACAGACAATCGAAAGAGACTGGAACTGTGCACAGGGGCCAGACTTGCCACAATCACTGGCCTTGAGCTCTGTAATGAATTCCAGTGGTCTAATGCTTCCATGGTAGATGCTGCTCCATACTTCCCCTTCACAGGGCCCTTCTCTCAAAGCCTTGTTCTTTACAAGAGGGACACACACACTGGCTACAAACTCATGGCTAAACAATCAACGGTCAGTATGTAGATTCATACAGTTAGCCTTTCAAAACACTCACATGCTTCCACGTTTCGGGTCGTTTCTGAGTTTGTAGTTATGATGTACATTTTTAGAAACTATTGAATTCACTGAGATAGTATTTTATAATTGTTTCTTTTTCTTTTTCAGAATCAGTATTCCACTGTTGCTCAGATAGCTCTGAACACACCTGGATCCAGAACTGATCGATCTTTGGCTTTCGACTTTCTTCTAAATAGGAAAACCAAAGACCTTGAAATCAACCTGGCGTCCCCATGGAAGAAGGCAGCATTCAAAGGTGTGTTACTTGGATGGGTTTATCTCTCTGTGTTGTTGTTTGTTGCTGCAGTAGTTTGAAGAAACATAAAATCTTGTCATAACATACTAAGATTGAAAGTAAAACTATTCATGTCACTTTACAGGATCGATGGCATATGAAAGTAAGAATATCGGCATGAAGGGCAATCTGATTGTCGATGAATCGAGAGAATATGGCATCATCAGCGAAGTTGGTATCAAGAAAGTAAGGACATTTGTGACCTACATGCCCCGCCTGGAGATCAGACGCCCAGGAGCCAAAGTTATCCTACTCAGTGGAACAGTAGAGGCTGAAGCACTTAAGAGAGCAAGTGCTGAATTAACCCTCAATGGAGTAACACCACATGCAATCAGCTTTAGATGTAAGTACAATTTTCAAAGCAGACAACTTTCCACAAGAACCATGGCCTTAATCTATACAAAGTACCACAACTAAAGACCATGTTTCATGTTTCTTAGACCTAACTTTACTCTTGCAGCTGCCTTACTGAACTCGAAAATTGAGAAGAGTGTGATGGGTACCTTCAGCCTTGCTCCAAAGCAGGACTACTTTCTCGAGGCTGGTTTGGTGTACCAGAACAGTGGCAGGAAGAAGTCCATCATCAAAGTCATCCCAACATTAACAGTCAAGACCCCCAAACTTCAACTCGTCTCTCTCTCTGGATCAGGAGACTATAAAGAGGGCAAATCACTCAAGGGTGGTGTCTCTCTGGATGTACACAAGGTCTTGGACAAACCAATCACTCTGAAATGTAAGTATTACGGAAACTTAAGTTAGGAATGGCTAGGAATGCAAACAATTTACAATCACAACACGTTTATATAAGAAATTCACTCTTCACCAGGTAACCTTAAGTTTCAATGACTTGTCAGTTTGTTGTTGCAAATTATTATATTTCAAATAACAACATATTGAACACAGTACCAAATGTTGTTTCAAAAAAACATCATATCACTTATGAATGTATTCAACGGCCATGTATGTCCAAATCAGGTGACATCAAGAAGACAGGTGGTTCTAAGAACAAGTACAGCGGAAGTGTAACACTTTCTTCCCGTTTCCTGGTCACCAAGCTTAGTGGCAACGTACAGACCAAGACGAGCACAGTCAGCACCTTTTTAACTCTCGACTACAATCTGCCTAAGATCCGAAGTATCAAAAAGGACAAGATCACATTCAGCTCTAAATACACTGATCGTAGCACCAAGTCCCTCTGGAACTACCAGCTGAACACGTAAGTAAACATTCATACATCAAATTCTTATTCACCGAACCGGTATCACAACCCTAGTAATAGTAAATGCTACTTTGTAAAATCAGGTGTCATGTGTGTACACAGGATAATGTTTTTTACAGAAACTTCGAAGACAAGAGATTCCCTGAGGTCAATTTCTTCACGGATCTTGACTTCTCTCACAACAACAAACACACAGAAGCTGGTGCAACATTCCGATATGGACCTAAATCCAAAGATTCCTCCCGCCAGATCACAGGCTATGCTCTTGTTAACCATGACGTTGGGTCCAAAGCCAAAGTTGACTACACAATGAAAACTACTGTGGGACCACTGGTGAGCCATTTGATCGTACCTAACATAGCTATAAGGTCGCACACATAACTAAGAATCAACTACACTTAACAAATAATGGTACATTGTATCATTGTTATAAACCATACATATTCATCACCTACATAACAATTTCTTCAGGTTTACTTCATGGTTGCATTCATTATTGTTTCAGGATGTGAAACTGAGCCTGAAAGGAAAGCATATCCAAGACAGTCGCAATCTGAATTCCACCATGACATTTGGCTATGGCAAAGGAAAAACAATTGATGCTGCTCTCAATCTGAGAAATAGTGGAAAGAAGACACTGAATCTTTTGGGTGAAGCAAGGCTTTCTTATCCAGGCAAAGAACTCCATCTGAAGACTGATCTAATCCAGTCCAAGAAAGACTACACACACTCCATGACCTTCTTCATGGACAAAGAAAAATCTACTATGGTAACAACCTACAAAAGACAGAGAGATGCAGCCCACCAGGTGAAATCTGACATCAAGCTACATTACATCCAGCCAATCCAACTGACTGCCTCCACTAACCTGAACAACAAGGACCTCAAGCTTTCTGCACAGGCCGATTATGCTGGTGAGGTTTATGGAATCAACACAGGCTATAAATACTCCAAGACTCCAAGTGCCAAGTGGAGCATGGACATTACATACCCCACAAGACATGTCATTCTCCAGGTCGAGGGTGGAAGGCGAGGTGTCACATACGAGGGCTCTGCTGATGCTAAGTGGGATGCTGACAAGGACATTTCCAGGAGATTCCTCCTCACAGGAAAACTCAACCTCAAGTCATCTGGCAACTTTGCTTCCACTGTTGCAATGAAATACCCAACCAGAGATGTGGAGTTCAATATCAAACATGCTAGTGGCCAACAGTATACTACACGTGCTGATGTCTCTTGGGACACTGACAAGAAGATCAAAGTAGACACATCCTTCAAAAAGGTCCAAACACGAAATGGTCAGTCACTTGATGGTTCTGTGAGAGTGAAGACCCCGTTTGAAGGATATGAAGATCTAATGGCCCAGGCCAGTAGTGACAACAATGACAAGAAATATGGCTCTTCAATGCAACTCTCCTGGGGTGGAAAGAAAAATCAGATCTCTTCTGCTGTCAGCATGAAGAAACCCTTCTCTGTAAGAAACCTTGACCTGACTATCACAGGAACATCCCCTTTCAAAGGATACAGAAGGTTCAGCACCGAAATAGATCACAGAATGACAACTTCTCTTAACACCATCATTAAGGGAAGCTTAGAGGGAAAGAATGCCAAGCTCATTTTGACTGGGGAGAACCGATGCACTGACCAGAAAAGGGACATTGAGGGTACCGTGAATTTCAAGTCCAACTTCAAGGGAATGCGAGCTGTTAATCTACGTCTTTCTCACAATGATGATTTCAGAAAGTTTGTGACTGACATTGCTCTGGATGTCAATGGCGATCAATACACCTATGATTTGGATATGGACCATGCAAGATCTGGATGGCAGTTCCAAAACACCGGTAAGCTCACACTCTCTTCTCCAAGCTACCGGTTCACCAACAACTGGCAACACAGGAATACTCACAATGACGTGAAAAGTACAATGACAACCGAATGGGGCAGGGGCCGACGCATCTTTGTCAACATATTTGGAAACCATGCTTCAACCACCAGAACAAAGGCCTTGGGAGGAGTAACCATTGAAACTCCATGGAAACCAATCCGCAGTCTTGACATCAACCTTGACCATGAACACGGAAGAGGTTTTATCCGCCACTCGTCTAACATCAAGCAAGGAGAGGATATTATTGGGTCAGCAGGAATCAACTACATTAGATCTGATGGGCAAACAGAGTCGGACTTTACACTGGCATCACCTGTGACCGACCTCAAAGGGAAGATAAGTGCTCGCTATCTTACTTATCCACTTTCAGGACATGCTGAATTAGAATGGTCTCCATATAACAAAATGTCGCTTGATGGTTCCTTTGCTGCTCCATCTAAAGAGAATATTGAAACAAGTCTACGGATGACAAGTCCTTTTGAAAACTTCAGAGACATTGTCTTGAAGGCATCTCATAAGAGGGAAGGATCTGATTTGATATCAAGAGGAAGTTTCAGCTATGACATCAGAAAGGCCTTTGAATTTGAAGCACACATTACTCCTGACACCCTGAACAATTATCGGGCAACACTGAAGACGCCTTTTGATGACTACAAATCTTTTGAGGCAGCACTTTCATACGATGGTGGCAGGAGAAACTTCATGAGCAAAGCTAACTTTGCTATCACTCCTGTTTTGGGAAACTTTGCTGGGATCTTGAACTGGAACCTCGACGACATGAATGGAAAGATGAGGATAGATACTCCATTCCCTGACTATCAGTACGTGCAGGTGTTTGCCAGCAGTGAACTTACAGGCAAGGGGAGACGCTCACACATTGAAACAGAATACTATCCAAGGAAAACTGTTAGCCTTGATGCTGTCTATGCATTTGGAACCCCCATTATCATGGACGTCACCATCAAGACTCCATTTGAAAACATGGAACACATGAGTGCATCCCTAAAACATGCTCTCAGAAGACGCTCTCTACAAACACATGCTGATGTTACGTTTGCGTCTGACAGCAACTTGGCTGGCGATCTGAAACTGAACTGGGCAAAGGGATATGATGGCAGTCTGGTCATCACCACACCTTTCCATGGTTATGAAATCAACAAGCTATCTGTCAGACATGAGGGCACTTGGGATGATTTCAAGAGTCACGGAGAAATTCAAATGACAAGGAAAACTGGAGAAGTCGACCTTGATTTCCGTCATGGCTTTAGATCAACTGGGACATTCACACTCAAGACACCATTTAATGGCATGGAAGAAACTAAAGTTTCACTTAACAAACGTGGCCTTTGGAATAACATACGAGGCGGTATCATCATCACCTATGGAAGAGATCAAACAATTGACATCTCTGGCCAGAACAGATTTTCTAATGGACGCCTGGACACAACACTTCTTGTCAAATCCCCCCTTTTCGGAGAACATCAAATTTGGCATAGATCATGATGGCCAACTAAGAAGCTTCTCAACTAAGGTATCTGGAGCTGTTGGATCACGACAATCCTTCAACTCAGAATCAGCATTCACTTTCAGGTATCCATTGATAGATGTATCTACCAACTTTGCCTTCACAAGAGATTGGAGGAGCAGAAACATTGGACTCAAGCTTCACAAAGAAGGCTACATTAGTGACATGAACGCCAAAGCAACTGGAATTCTGGACAGTGAACAAGTTGATGTGTCCTTTATACTTAAGACTGATGGCAAATATGAAGGATCTCTCACCATGCAGACACCATTTGAAGACTACAAAGATATTGGACTCTCTCTTCAACATTCTGGAAACGTGCAGAGGTTTACAAGTCAAGGCACTATCAGGTACATGGATGGCAAGTCTCTGGAGGGCACCCTGACTTTCTGGCAATCTGGCCTGGCTCATATTGATACCAAAGCAGAAATCAAGACTCCCTTCCTGGGATATGAATCTTCCCTTCTCAAATACCGCCATTCAATGGATGATTCTCAAATGACATCAAATGCTCTCGTTCTCTATGGACGTGGACAACGAATTACATCTGATCTTAATATCCAAACATCACCTAAGATCAGCTTTGATCTAACTGTTCAAACACCCTACGACAGATTCCAAAACAATAAACTTATGTTTACTCATTCTGGGCCTATTGTCAGCTGCACAAGTCATGCGGAAATGGAAATCCTGGGCAATACAGTCACTGCAGATTCATCATTTGAACACGGAACGTCCACCAGAGCCAGTCTCGCCATCATCACTAACATCGAGGGTATGGAAGTGGTCAAGGCATCTCTCAACAAGGAGGGAAGCAGCGAGAACTTTAGAGGTACTGCTTCAGCCTCCCTGAAGGATTCCACCATTCAAGCCGATGTCACAGGTAGAATTGCACAAGACATCAGAGGAAGCCTTTCTCTTAGAACCCCCTTCAGTGACTTTAGAGACACAGCCATTGTCATTGAACACACAGGCAACTGGAATGATTTTAATAGCGAAGGAATGCTCCGTTACATGGATGGCAAAACAATTGAGGGTAAAATTAAGTTCTTCAATAATGGATACAGGCAGATAAAAACAAGTGCCGAGCTGAAGACACCCTTCACTTCCTATGAAATGATGACCGTCGAATATGGACATGATTCCAGGAGCAATTACTTTAAATCCAACTCAGCAGTCACCTATGGCAACGGACAGAGGATTACATCAGACATCTCCGCAGATACAGCCAGAGATATCAATGTAAATGCTGTGATCAAAACTCCCTTCAGGGACTTCGAACTTAGTAGAGCAATCTTCACTTCCACTGGCCCTCTCAGAAATATGAAAAACAATGCAGAACTTGAGTTTGCCAAGACCAGACTAACTGCACAGACCAACTTTGCAAACATAGGATCAACAAAAGGTGATCTCGTTATCACAACAAACATTCCTGGTTATGAAAGTATGAAAGGTTCCATTGGAGTGGAAGGGGATCTCACTGATCTGAAATCTACAGCACTTCTTAACATTAAAGATTCTACACTTGAAGTAGATCTCAGTGCAAGTTTGAAGAACAGAATCATGGCATCTGTGACGATCAGGAGTCCTTTCCAGAACTTCAGAAATGTGGGAGGCTTCATTGAGCACTCAGGATCGTTATCACGATTTAATACTGAAGGAAATCTTCGCTACATGGATGGAAAAGTTGTTGAAGGCAAAGTCGTCTTCTTAAAATCTGGACTGACACATATTCAAGCTAGCGCAGAACTCAAAACACCTTTCCAAGGATATGAAAGTCAATCTGCAGAGTACAAACATTCACTGAAGAATGGCCGTCTTAGCTCCACCATGGATGTCAACTATGGTCAGCGTCAACAAGTACTGATGACTGTAAATGGCATGATGTCACCAACAATAGACATTAGTGCTACACTGAGAACTCCTTTCAGAAGCTTCGAAACCAGCAGAATCATCTTCACCCACGATGGGCCTATTGGCAACTGCAGGAGTCACCTGGAACTGCAAGCTATTGGGAAGACACTCACTGCAGATTTGGACTGCCAAACTGGTAGTTCTATGAGCGGTAACCTGAATGTAGTCAGCAACATTGAAGGATTGGAGAGCATGAGGGTATCTTACAGTAAGGAAGGGGATATCAATAATCTCAAAGCTAAAGGATCCATTGGAATCAGACAGGAAACATTAGAAGCATCTCTAAACAATGTCTTCAGTTCAAGGCGACTCTTGACTGACTTATCCATCAGAAATCCATACACAGAAGATATTGTTGCACGTGTAGATTTCAGTGGGAGACCAACCAACTTCAAAAATCAGATTTCAGCCAGCATGGGCACTGGTGGTTCCATCTCCTCAGACTCATCCTTCCGGCTTAGAAATGGGGATATTGATATCAGCTCAGGATTTAACTTCAATCTGGCGGGACTTGGACAGACAGGAAATATCAAATTCCACAAAGAAGGAGAACTTAAGAATATGAAAATGAGTATCAATGGTGATTACAACCAGAGGAAAGCAAGTGTGAAAGCCGAGTTCAGAGCACTGGACGACATCCATGGTCAGGTCAAAATCGCAACACCATTCAGACCATACAGAAACCTTGGCTTCTCTTTTGACCATTCTGGTACATGGACTCGTTTTACTTCTCAAAGTATGGTCCAGTTCATGGATAGGAGAAAGATCACTGCAAAAATCAACCATTTCAGTCATGACCTTGATCGTCTAGAAAGTAGCTTAGAAATTACTACACCTTTCCAAGGCTACGAGTTCACAAAAGCTGAGATTGATCATGCTGCAACAACTAATGGAATCAACTGTAATGCTGCTGTACAGTATGCACAAGGACAGAAAGTTACAGGAGAACTCCATGCTACAATTTCGCCAAAGTATGACGTGGAAGTCAAACTGACTACACCTTTCAGACAATATGAGGTTCTCTCTGCATCCACATCATTTGAGCATGGAACTGACAGATACAATCTAGAGAGCAAACTGAATGCTGGAAATGGCAATCACTTTGGTCTTGAATCAACTGCTGACATGTCTACCACGCCCTACACGGCAGTTGCACGTATCTCAACACCATTTGAAAACTTTGATTCTGCTGAAATCTCTTTGACACATGCTGGTGAACTACGGAAGTTCAGGTCCACAGGGACAATACAAACTCCAATGACCGGTACTCACACAGGTGAAGCGTCTTTCGGTTACACATCCCTCTCAGAAATGGAAGGTTTAATATCTCTTTCTGATAACATCAAGTTGGCTTTACACAACACCAACAGAAACCAGAAATACCAATCTCACATTGAGGCTACATGGAGTCCCACAGACAGAATAGCTTTTGATGGATCCTACCAATTCCTTGATCTGTACAGTGAGAAAGAACTGACAACAGATCTGACCCTGGTTACACCATTTGAAGCTGCCAAATTGACTGCTCTAAGGTTTGAACATCATCAAGGATCGGATAAATATACAGAGAAGCTGGAAGCTGATTACAATGGTGACAATATTCTGGATATGGACATGGAGATCTCCCGAGGTTCAAGGGAGCAGGGAACATTCACAATGAGGAAACCAAGGCCAATGCAGCTGACTCTTTCAGGGGAAATGGCTGATGAGAACATTGATGGAGAGATGTTTGTCAACTGGGACAGAGATGAACCCGAGAGCAACATCCGAATCCAGACCACACTGACAGACAGGAGCAGACAGTCCCTGCTGAACAAAGACCTGACACTCAAGTTTATTCATCCCACCCGCACTGTTGGTATCATCGGAAATGTCCTCAGTTCACAGCTCCAAACAAAGAGTCGTGGAGAATTCATCTGGAATGAAGATGCAGGACACAAACTTTTCTATGATGTGGATGTTAAGGACCGTAGCCGCCGTAACAGCAAGATGTATGATGGCACCTTCAAAGTGGGATCCCCACTGAGAAGTCTCCAAATGGATGGGTCTTACAGTCAGACAGGTGCAAGCAAAACTCTGGATGGAGCCTTCTCCTGGGATGCAGACCGAGATGACACAAAGAAGATTGGCATGAAAGCTGTCTTCACACCTGGTGACAAGAATAAGCAGGCTGATCTCTCTCTCAGACTTCCTTCTATTGGAAAGGTAGGAACTCAACACAATATTTACTGTAAAGTTTATGCAAACATGATGTTTTGAGCTCATTACCAAGACAAAATGTCGCGGCGTAAAACTAAACTCACTCACTAAACTCAACAAAATGTCATGATGAATAATACCCTTTAATGCTCTGTACACACAATTAGAACAAAAACATAACGGTTGTCAATGATCTTCAGAACATCCAGATCGACACAGAAATGCTGCTGAATGATGGCAGGACAGTCTTCAATGGAAAAACACAACTGTCCTACTCCAGTGACTCCCGAAAGACCCTGACACTTACATCTCGACTGGATGATATTTCCTATGGATGGGGTAACACCAACTACAGTCTTGTGGTTGGCGTAAGCCACCCATATACAGATGTGGACGTCAAACTTACATCCCACATCGGCAGCTCCAGCGAGAAAGTATCTGCTGGAACTGGAATCACCTACCTAACAGCCAGAAGGGAAAGACAGAACTTTGCTCTCAGAGGCGAGATCAACAAACTGAGAAAGCAGATACAGCTGCAGGTGAGAAGCCTTACTGTTCAGAGTATCCTCAAAGCTTAAAATCATTAGCCATTAGGATCACATGATAGATATGATGTCTCAATATATACGTCATTAGTATTAACATTTATCTCATAATCAAATCTAAAGATGAAGTAATAATTACAAATTCATGACAAAGATGTTATCAAGTATTTGATAGCAAGTAATATAATTCCCACTTTTATAGATGGAGACCCCAATCAAGAACATGGACCTCTCTGGTGAGATGGAGGAAACTCCTTTCAAGCTGAAGATCAGGAACATGTATGGAGACAAGATTGTCCAAGCACACCTTACTGTTGACACCGAAAGGAGAATGGTGGATTTCCAAACTAACTATGACCTAGGTAGGATCTGCAATATCCTCCTTCCTTTCAAATCTATTTATATATGATGAACATTTCATCAAATTTAAAGGCCAAAATAGCACTGTAACAGAAACATATTCTACTTCAGACAACCCTGGAAAGACACTGAACATGAATGCCAGATACGTCAATTCAAGCGCCATGCAGGCTGAGGTTTATCATCAGGACAATTCTCGTCGACTTTCTGACAGTCTGCTTGCTCTCAGACTCAACACATCCCGTCTTCTCCATACCAGGATATCCTGGAGGCCACAGATGATCGCTGATGTTCAGGTATTAAATGCTGAAGAACATATGTAATTAGTGTACAAATTGAAATGTTTGAAAATCAAAACTCGTCACAAGAAAACTTTCCACATTTAATATACCATTTTGTAAATGAGTACTCTTGTGTTTTAAAGGGATACTTGACCAAGACAGTGGAGACATATGGGCAAGATACCAAGGCCTCTTTCCACTCTGTATACGAGTCTGTGGGACAGGAATTGTCCGGCAAGTACCACCGGATTGCACAAGTCGCCAAAAAGGAACTGTCTCCTTACCTAACCATGTTGGAATCAGAGATGGCTTCCATAGAGAGACAGTTGGACTCTATCAGGAGGGATATCAAGCGCATGTACAACCGTAATGACTTCTACATAGCAGCAATGGGAGATTACTTCAGTCAGACATTGTAAGTCGACCAGCGGTTTCATTTATATCTATAGTGGGATCAATTTAGGGTCATATTTGGAATATAGCATTGTCTAAAGCTAACAACGCGAAAAAGACATTGCACACTTTGATAACCATGAGCAAATTTCTTTGCTTCAGCGAAGCATACAAGGACCTTGTGACTTCGACAAAGGAAGTGTTTGCTTCCACAAATCAGAAACTGGCTGAATACATGCAGGAGATGACAAACTTCCCCATCGGACAAAAATATCAGGCCATTGTTGCTGAAACCCTCGCCAACTTTAAGGTTTGTGTCTCTTACAAACTTACATTTTTCATGAACTCCTGGTGTGATCCCTTATTTTCAGGGATCCATTCAAATGGGTATCGTGACTATTTTCCTTTTTACATAAAGAGATCTGTTTTGACAGATCATCGAGACTGATTACTTTGGCGTTGATATGTTATGTTTAAAATATTTCATTTCTCAATGTAGCGTGGTGTGGATGAGCTTGTTGGAATGACCGTGGTGATGATCTCAGGACTGGATGAACAGCTGCAGAGTATGAGGAACACTTATCATCATCATTACAACAACCTGCAGAATTCGATTACAGGTAATTTATTTCAACTTATTGTGAATGTTTGATTTTTGCTTCCGAAATCAATGTACAAATCACCACCATCATGACAATTTAATTTTTACCTTATACTGCATCTTTCACAGAGCTGAAGAACCATCCTCGATTGGCGACTGTCAGGCTTCAGCTTGCTGACACCTACCAGCAATACCTCAACGCCATTACCAACAAAGTACAGGACCTTAACATCCCCAGCAAGTACAGCGCAATTGTAGAGCACACACAGAAGATGATGACCTCCCGCCTAGGAGACATCATGAAGAGGGACGACCTCCAACATCTGCTTTCCCTCACAAACGGTGCTTACCAAGAGGTCAGTCCAAATGTTATGTCCAAGATTGTTTTTTATGTAGTGCAAGGCAATCTATCTTTTCAATTTATCAGTCTGCCAACACAATTTGTGAATGCAACAGCTTCAATGAACTATCACTGGTTTACAGGGTGTGTGGGCATACAACTACTGGCAAGTAGAGGAGAACCTCAAGCAGCACCTGCAGAGCATCTATGAGATCATCAAGGAGATGATTGAGGAGGAGGTTCAGAAATACAGGGAACAATTGGTCTTTCTGGAAAAGTCCAAGGTCACAGTTTGGGATCCTGAACATGGAGAGATCCAGATAGACTTATACCTGCCTATTCCACTTCAATCTCTGGACACACTTCCAGAAATTCAGACGTATGTTCAAAGGGCAAAGACTGCAATCAACACATACATTCCAGACAAGGCAACGTACCAGAGAGTAAGTTTGTTTTGGGGTTTTTTTGGTTTTTAATTGTTTTAATTTATTTTATTTTTCATGAAACCCAAGTCTTCCATCATAAACGGTCCTTACATAATGACATATACAAATACATGAAACATAATCAGATATCCAACATACCAGGATGTAACATAGTTAGACCAGTGAAATATCAGCCTGTATAGGGTGTTGCATGCAATGCCACATCCAACATATCATGTTTTACATAGCGCAACATGCAGCATAGAGTGATGTATATAGCGTCATATCAGACATAGCATATTGTATATGGGGTACCATCCAACATACGCTGTATATTGCGCAACATCCAACATAAGTTGTATATAGTGTCATATCCGAAATGTCGTAATGTATACAGCATATCATACGACCTATTATGTTGTATATAGCACCATATCCGACATATCATATTGAATATAGGGCCACATCTGATGTTTCCTGCTGTATATTGCGTCACATCCATCATATCGTATTGTATATTGCGGCACCTCCGACATATCATGCTGTATATAGCGCAGTACCAAGCATACAATGTTGTATATAGCGCCATATCAGACATATCGTATTGTATATGGAGTCATATCCGACATATGTTGTACATAGCGCTACATATAGCGTCATATCCGACATGCCACGCTGTATATAGCATCACATACGACATGTCATATTGTTTAAAGCACCACATCTGACATATCATGCTGTATATTGCATCACATCCCTTCTATCTCATTGTATATTGCATCACATCTGATCTATCATGTTGTATAATGCATACTCCTCTGACATATTATGTTGTATATAGCGCCACATCCAACATACCATGTTATACATAGAGCCACATTTACAGAGAGTACGTTACCTAGCCTATATGTACACCGGTGGGTTTTTTCTACAATTATATTCAACGGTGAAGGGTATTACCAAATGTTTGGTGTATATAGTACCCGGGCATATAACTTTGGCATGAACGTTTCACTCATTCTTGAACCCGTCCATTGTGTTATAACACAAGATTCTTTCCCTATTTTCAGTACATCCCAACATCATTGTGGCAGACACCCAATGCTACAACGAGGATCAATCGTGAAATGAAAGTAAGTAGCACAATATGTTTATGATGCACCCTGCACTTTGCGTCTCTTTTTTAATATCTTTAATTGTATTTTCAATTAGCACGTGTGTTTAGTCATTTTGTTTATAAGCTATATGATTGTTCATCGTGTGAGAAAATGAAGAATGAATAAAGAAGTCCTAAAGTAGATGATGTAATACAAATCTATACAAATCAAGTCACTCAAAAATAGTTCAAGTACAATGAAACATCTAACATGCATCTTTTCAATACTTTCATCTTTTGCAGACCTTGCCAAACGCCTCTCAGAGACGTCCCTTGAGAAGGTACAACGCCATCCGTCTCTAAGACCACAGCCTTCCAACACCCATTGAACCCCTTACAGAAAAATGATCTAGACAATGTATTGACTATTTATAGTACCAAACGTTTTATGTAAGATCAATGTTACTTGTAAACTGTACTGAACAAATGATAGAAGACAAACTATTTGAATATTTAGTAGTGAAAAATATGTCTATTATGTTTGCTTGTAAACGAACACTTCCATTATGTGGAATGTGTGGTGTCTTTTGTTCAGTATATGTTACAGATAAGGTAACAAGTAGCATGTAACAAATTCCTTCCCAGTCCAAGAATAAATATTTGCATTCAAAGTGTTTCCTGTTGTATGCTATGGTGTTACACCTTTACTTTCGCTGATGGAATTATCGGATTTTTCACGTCTGCATTCGTCACATACTAAGAAATGACACTGGCATGGTATCCTCTGGTCATCTGTTAATGATGTGACAACTGTTTGATGTCATTAAACTGACACTTTCTACTTGAGGCAAGTAGTACATTGTCGTACTCAACCGCCTCACGAGAACACAACGCATCACATTTGACGAACACAATGTTTAAGGATACACAACAACACATAGTCCACGAGAAGACAAAGTATCACGTTCAATAAACACAATCTCAAAGGATACACAATAATAGACCACCTCACAAGAACACATAGTATCATGTTTACAAACACAATGTCTAAGGATACACAACAACACACAGTCTCACGAGAACACAAAGTATCACGTTCAACAATCACAATGTCTAAAGATAAACAGTAACACACAGTCTCACAAGAACACACTCACTTACGAGACTCATGAACACAATGTCTTACGAGACACATGCACACAGTTTCTCATGAGATCCAATGACACTGATCCATCGTTGGCGCCTCTCTGAGAGCCTTGTTCTTGTTTAGTATATAGTTGTTCACAAAACATCTTTTGTTCCTCAATAATCATTTTCCGATCAATTATATCCATGTTTGGAGAGTCAATTATTTTATTATCAACCTATTGGTGTAGTTCCCATATTCCAAATGGCACAGATATTTTGGTTTTTCTTCTTCTCGATACCATTTAATTCCATTTCTAGTTTGTACAAGTTTATATCCTTCTCGAACTTCTTCTATTTTTATATATGGTTAAGGGGTGATGGGGTAGCCTTGAGGTCAAAGTGTTGGCTCGTCACGCCGAACATCCGGCTTCGATTCCCTTCAATGTAATGATGCATTCATGTATGTATGAAGCCCATTTCTGGTCTTCCCCACCGGGATAATATCGCCGCTGTAAATATTGATAAAAGCGGCATAAAACTTCACTCACACTCTATATGGTTAGTTTAGTAAGTGTTCAGTGATTAAGAGTTTGAAACTCTTCTCACGCGATATTTTCTAATTCTGTGATTTCAGTTTCAAAACGTTCTACCTGGTTTTTCTTTACTTTGATCTTTAGTATTTTCTCTCCAAAAGTCAGCTGAGTCAAAATCTTTCATGCATTCCAAAACCTTATTTCTGGCAAAAGAAGTGTTAATGTTACGCTAAGCCTACTGAAGGATAGATGACTAGATTCCTGTCGCCACAAATGTATATTGATTCATTGAATATTCTTAACTAGATTACTAAAACAAATGGGATTGACAGTGAAAGGCCCATAAATATTTGTTAATGTATTTCTTATTCCTTCAATTGTTGCATCTACTATAATCAAATCACCATATGGTCTGTGTGACATTTGTGTATTTTGATTTTAGATTTATTGTTAACCAAAATGACACCTATATATTTACAGAAATTGAGAGCTCAGTACAAAAGAACGAGGCATCTAAAGCCATTAAATGCATGAAAAATAGTAACAGTCCAGGAATAGATGGATTTCTAATAGAATAATTGGATATGGGTAAGGGATGGCATTAGGCTCCTATGCCATATTGTATACGAAACTAAGCGAAGAAATCAACAAAGGACGCTAATGCTTATGTGCTTCGAAAACGCTTTTGATACAGTATACAACACATTTATTCTTAAAGTGCAAAAACAAATGGGAACCTGAGAAAATATAAAAGCTTTCATAGAGGCGTTGAAATTATCTTATCTAAGAAGATACATACCTAATACAGAGTTACGTAACCTGTCCGTGGTTTCGTTGACGGGCGAGAGTGAAGCAGGCGACTTTTGGGCAACTTTTAATTGCTCGGTATTACTTAACCACAAGTTTTTAAAGAATAAATTGGTGTTCCGCATAAGACTAACCACAAATCTTTCATATGTAATAGTTAAAAGGGTACCAAAAAACAAAGTTTATTTGTTCTTTAAATGATGCTTAACAAGGGAGAGAACTAATTCTATGAAGCGCACGTACAATATTGTGTCAAATGTTGGGTACTGAAAGGCACTGGATGCCGTGTGTGCGTATATGCGTGTAAGATTGGTCATGAGGAATGGATTCATACTGATATTTATCGAGGTTGTTGAATGAATGTAGACATATTTGTGTATATGTGTATATAATCAATCTGTAAATGGTGGTGTTTTATGTTTCATGACATATCAACACATGTACTTTGGGCCGGAGGCCTTTATTACTGCTTAATAACTAAAACTAAACTGCTCTTTATTCCAAACGATGCCAACATGAAGCGTGTGACTTTTCACGGAATGAAACAAAATAGTGAATGCCAATTCAAATCGAAAAGGAATAGCTAAAGTACTGTCGGAAATAGAAAAAAACTGTTTTTAGGCTGTTACTCCGTATCACTAAAATTTACACAATTGCAAATAGCATATGTCGAAATAACCCACATCGGCCTAACTGGGCGTTCAGGGGGATGCATAATAGGATATCAAGAAAAGCATGTTTACTCGTAAAATCGGGCAAAACTGAAAACAATAGATCAGACTATAGATGGCAATTAGGTCGCTCAGGCAGGTATGACGACGGACCGTCGACTCACATGGCATGAAATGCATGTGCTGCCCACAGGCACAGGGGGTCATTTCAAAGATATTTTATGTTGTTTCATGTGTATTGAATATGTCTCTATTGATTATCTTATCTTAGCTAATATCTCAGTTCCCCCAACCACCGTCTGCGACACCCGTCCTGGTTTTGCTTTTGAGACGACCCCTCCTACCTGTTTCTTTTCACAGTGATAGTGAGACGCCATGGTAGCTACATCCTTAATAGTTTCAGTATTAAAGTTATTATTTTTTACGTCTGCTATCGTTTATAACGAAGCTAAGTCTAATTTCAAAATGATCATTTAAAAAGTGTCCTTTGTAATACAATATCATTGCACACTACTTTGCATAAAGCCATGGTCTGTTTTGAATAAGTCGCATTGCTCATTTCTGCACTAATCTCTCCTCAGTAAAATCCTTCTGTTACGTTCCCATCTCCCTCCCACTGCGACTGTAGTTAGGCCGAACAGGTTCAACAGATATTTCACACTTTCACATATTTTAAACTACCTAAATTGTAGATATAAATGTGGAATAACCTTTTTCTTTTATTTCCGACAGTACTTTAACACATGGTTTTATGGGACGGTGACAGTCGCTTTGATCACGATTTCGAAACAGAGCCATTCTGATGCAACGGTCTAGTTGTCGCCCTTAGTCGATCAGATCTGTTGTCAACGTTATCGTTTGTCATTGTAATCTGCTAATTACTGATTGTGACGGCTGGGGTCACAATGCCCTGTCTTGTTCTAACTTCCACCATGCCAACTACACGTATGCTAAAACCCGTTCAATTGAGTTCCGACAACATAAGAACACCTTTCAGTTCACGTGCATGTCATGAAAACGTTTGCACAAGAGAGAGATATTCTTTATTTTCTTCTGAAATCAATACAAAAATTATGGATGCATGAATTCAATCAAACATAATGCATGATAGTATTTACATACAGGACAATGTCATATTTGATATATGCAGAAATATAATCAAAACTTCACATCGTGATGGCGTCTACTGTACAGTGTCGGCAGTAGAATACAAACTCGAGATAGGTTTTAAATTATAGACATATGTTGCAAAGTATATAATTACAGGATATGTGTCCCGGTCTAGGGATCGTGTGAACTGTGTATCTGCACCTTAGAGTGTTGACAGCATTTCGGCGTCTTCAAACATTTCAAAATTTACGGTAGTTTCAACATCAAGCAGATCAAGCAAGGTTGCTCTGTGTTCAGGATATAAAAATACTAAGTTTAAAAGTATGTGATATGTCAGTGATGTGTGAACAGGCATGTAACGAAACAGTCCTGCATTATCTGATGTTGTGTTACGACACATTCGTTCTTCATATTCATGTACTTGTTTGTTTTCAATTCGTCTCCACTGGTGTTTTGGGAAAATGAACCACTGTATAAATTTGTACATGAGTAGTTTCTAAGATTGTATTTGCACAAGACAGACTGAAGATCTCCACAAATAGTGGATTTTAGCCATGGAAGCACAGAATATGTTTTATGAGATTGTCACAGCCAGTGCTGCATAACGGGACAAAGAACTGGAGTTTACGCTTATCAGTGTAATCAATCATGGTCCACAATCCTAAGTTTACAATAGTGGATTCAGATGGAGAGCTCTTATCTAGTCCATGCACAGTGTGGGCAAAGTACCGCTGTGTGTTTTCAAGCAAACAAAGTTCCTGCCCTTTAATGTCAAACTATAGTTCTGGCTTTCAGAATAATTTTTGCCATATTTTAACACTGGCACCTGGATATAGATCAGTGTTATTTAGTCCCAAACATTTACCTGATTTAACACTCTGTTTTGCGTTCTGACAACACTTTTCAATTTTTTAATTTACATGTTAAATCAGAGGTGAAAAGTATACCGCCATAAGTAGTGGAATCAGCTGATGCAATGTGTTTCATTACCAAGAGTGTAGTTTACGGTTTTAACTTTACGCTTAGTTTTATTAAAATGATGACTGTACTTTCTGCAGGAGTGTTAGTTATTGTTATATGCCTGGAGAATCGAGAGCCATTTGAAGTCCTTTTGGTGAAGTACTGACACGTGCTGTGTCGTCAGCAAGCAATATAGTCGGAACACTCAGACCATACACACTTAGGCCATTACTAGCCTGTCTCACAAAAGAAATCAAATCATTGATAAACACTAAGAAGAAGCAGGTCGACATAACTCTGCCTTGACCAACACCTTGCTTAACAAGATACCCGTAAGGATTATCATAAGAATAGCTATTTTGTATAACTGTTGTGAAGTAGTTTCCAGTTGTTTCCCTGGATGCCCAGTTTATGTAACTTGTAAAGTAAACCAGCGTACCATTGTAGTGTATCCGGATCACT